GAGGGCCAGCACCTGGGAGGTGTGGTGAGCGCCACCACCTGGGCGGTGTGGTGAGGGCCAGCACCTGGGAGGTGTGGTGAGGGCCGCCACCTGGGCGGTGTGGTGAGGGCCAGCACCTGGGAGGTGTGGTGAGGGCCACCACCTGGGAGGTGTGGTGAGGGCCAGCACCTGGGCGGTGTGGTGAGCGCCACCACCTGGGAGGTGTGGTGAGGGCCAGCACCTGGGAGGTGTGGTGAGGGCCAGCACCTGGGCGGTGTGGTGAGGGCCAGCACCTGGGAGGTGTGCAAGGGAGAGCCCACCAGCCCAAAGACCCAGGCCTCAGGGACCAGGAGGGCCGTGGGCTCTGAGGCCTGAGTTCAGGTCTGGTGGACTGGAGTTGGTTCGAGCCCCAAGCTCGCCCCTTATGGTGTCCCCCACACTTAGCGTGAGAAAGAGTAAGACAGCACCAGGCTGACCCTGTGGGTGGGGAGCATCTGGGACTGTTTGCAGACAACGCCGGGAGCGTTCCTTTCTGCTTGGAGGAATGGCAGCGGGCATGGCGCAGCCACCACGGCTCCGGCTTTGAGGACGGCACCTCCACAGCTCACTGCCAGGGGGATGGGGGCCTTTCCTGGACGCCCCTCTTCATTCGGATCAGGGGGGCTCTTTTTTTAAATTGTGATTTGGGTGAAAGTTTACAGAGCAAATTTGTTTTCCATTCAACAGTTCCTACACAATCTGTTTCATGACACTGATTACAATCCCTGCAATGTAACAACTCTCCTCCCACTTCCTCCCTGTGGTTAGTTACCTCTTTCCTGTGTCCTTCTTTCCTGTGCATTCCTGCCCTCTGAGCTGTCTTCCTGTGCAAATGCTGCCCTTCTGATCCCCCATGGTCAAGTGTTCCAAGGAGTGCACCTCCCTGGTATAAATGTTCACCTTATAGGCCTGTCCATTGTCTGGCTAGAAGCCATGGGAGTGAGTTCAATTCCAGGCCCAAAGGGTGACTAGGGGTTTCACCAGGTTCTGTCAGACCACTAAGCCTGGTCTCTTTTTTTATGATTTTTAGTTTTCTTCCACGTTTTTCTCCTACTCTATCCAGGATCTCCAACTATGACCCCTCTCCGGGTGGTTGGCAGTGGGAGCCGGGTGCCATATAGTGCTGGTCTCAGAGTCATGGAGGCTGAGGTTCCCTTGGGCTAATTGTTTCCATGCATCTTTTATTTCCTTCACTCTTCTTGGCTATGGACCAGGAGAGCCCATTAGTTACATCTGAGGTGGCCGCTGTTCATCCAGTCACTGCTCACCAAAACAGGAAGTGGAACGGTGTTTTTGTGTAGTATGTTATGCCAACTGAGCTGGATGTCCCCGCGACCATGGTCTGAGCCTTTGGGCCCAGTGACTCACTCAGAAGGCCCTTTCTTTCTAGCTCGGCTACTCGTCTTTGAAAATCAGGCTTGGTACTCGACTCTCGCCCGTTGAAGGTGCCGTTAGCTCTGGGCCTGGCTCTCCTTTAGGGCCCTTGGAAATGGCCCCTCCCGTTCTGATCTTCAGTTTCCCAGCCTGTTAAGTGGGACGGCAGACTGCAGGCGTGAACGCCCTCTCCCCACAGAGAGGCGGCCGGGCTCTGCCCGGGTGGCATTTCCTCTGGCACCCACCCGCCACCCTGCAGCAAAGTAAGGGACAGGCTTCCCTGGGAGGCGTAGCCCCCAGTGCCACCGCCTGCCTGTTCAGCAGCTGCCCCTGGGGACAGACAGAATTCCTTTGTCTTGTGCGGCTCAAGTTTAGAGTCAACCCCATGTCACAGTGATGTCAACAGAATGGATGTTTCCCACACGCAGTCCAGGCTGGTACGGTGGCGCTGCTGGGGTGCTCAGCACCACCGACATGCCCAGACACCCCAAGCCGCGCCCACACCCCAGCCACACAAGCAGAAGGGAAGGGAGGACTTGCCTCTGCCCTTTATGGGCACGGTCTGCAAACAGACACATCCCATTGGCCAGACTCAGTCACATGTCTACCCTGGCTGCAGAGGATGCTGGGAAATGTAGTCCTTTTGGGGGGGAGCCCTGGAGGCACAGTGTTTAAAAGCGCTGGGCTTCAAACCCAGAGGTCAGCAGTTTGATCCCACTGGCCACTCTGTGGGAGAAAGATGTGGCAGGTAGCTTCCATAAGGATTTACAGGCTTGAAAACCCTGTGGAACACTGTTCTCTCCAATGCATGGGGACACCGTGCACAGACTCAATGCCAAGGGGTTTATTAGGATACAAGGGGAAGCAGGAGGGAACTAGCTGGTCCAATTCTTACCCCAGCCTGGGAGTGCTCAGGGCCTGTGGCTGGGTGTCCATTGCCCACAGGGGAGGACGGGCAGCCCGGGCTGGGCACGTGGGCTGCCTGTAGCCTTTCATGGCTGCCAGGGGGCTGGGCTGCCAGCATAGGTGCTCACGGAGCACAGAGGCTCCCGGGCATCCTCCACTCCCAGCCCCTGGGCCCAGACCTGGCTCTGGAGCACACAGCCCAGGGCCGCTGACATGCAGGCTGGCCTTCGTAAGGGCTGGGACCCGTGCGGGCATCGTGCAGCCCAGGGCTGTCAGAACCCAGGGAAGGTTTCCAGGTGGAGGCCTCTGCCCCGTCACGCGCTGGGGAGAACAGCAGTAATAGCCACAATACCACCACCAGCTCAGTCAGTGCTCCATGCGAGTCATCTTCAGTCATCCGGATTCATAGGAGGCAGGACGTTATTGTCCCTGTTTGACAGATGAGGCTCAGGGAGGAAGTGACTTGCCCAAAGTCATCTGGCTTATCAGGGGTAGAGCCAGAGTTTGAACCTGGGTCATCTGGGCTCTTAACTTCTGCACCCCTTGGCCACCTTATTGTCCGCAGCTACAGGAAGGCACACAGGAGGTCCAACTGAACCATTGGGCCAGCACCAGCCTGGGCGTGGGTGGCTCCAGGTATCCCCAGGGACCGTGTATCACCTGCCGACTCCAGCCGCCTGCTGCAAGGCCAGGGCTGCCCCTGGGGGTGATAGAGACAGATGCCTGAGTGCCAGGTACTAGGAGCCCCTCGGGCTCCCCCAGCAGGGCTGGCCACTGACTGACCCTCAGCTGCTTTCTGGGCTGCCCTGACCACCTCCCTCCTCCAACCTCAGGGCCAGCACTATCAAGAGACAGGCACCCAAGTGCCCAACACAGGGCAGGGCACCAGAAGCCCTGGCACTTCCCCCCCATCCCCTGCAGGGCTGCCCACTGATCGCCTCCCCAGCCTGCTGACCGCCTCTTCCGCCCCGCCCCCTGCAGGGCCAGCACTATGAAGAAGAGAAGCGGGCCCTTAGCCATGAGATTGTTGCCCTCAACAGCCACCTGCTGGAGGCCAAGGTGACCATCGACAAGCTATCGGAGGATAACGTGAGTACTGTGCGTGCCAGGCCTGCCAGGGGACTCAGCCTGCACCAAAGGAGCCACCCGTCTCCTGGATGATGGGGCGCGGGTGGGGGCAGCAGGTGTGGGGAGAGCACAGGGAACTGGTGGTGTCATGAAGCAGTCGGCGTCTGGAGATCAGGAGAAAGGCTGCCGTATGAGTGGTGGTGACAGCCCCAGAGGAGGAGGGAGGCCCTGGGACAGAGTCCGGTTAACCCAGAGGAACAGCCCTCAGGGACAAGGGCCTGGAGGAGACACCAGGCAGGTGTGCTGCTGCCATGAGCGAGCTGGCCAGCTGGTCACAGGCTGCTAAGAGGTGGAAAGGGGAGGCCTTGACTCCTCCCCTTTATGAGTGCTGGCCAATGGCTGAGTGGACAGGTGGGCCCAGAGGAGGGAGGCCCAGAGAGTGGCTGTGCCAGGAGTGTGGCTCCAGGAGGCGGAGACCTGGGTGGTATTGCGGGGAGGGGGGGGCAAGTCCAGGCCCTTGACAAGGGTAGCACATGAGGAAACAAGGCTGAGCCGGTGATGACTGGTCTCCCAGGTTGTCACTCGTGCGAAGAACCAGAACTTGAACTCAGGGCCATCTGGCCACAGACCCCTGCCCTTGTGGCTGCACCAGACTCTCCGTAGCCAGAGTGCCTACCGCCACCTGCCCCCTCTGCCTGGCATGTCCCAGCTGCACTTCCTCCCTGGAGCCAACACCTGTGCCCCAGGAAGGGTCTCCCGGGTTGTCCTGAACCAGCAGGCTCGGGCCCATGGACATGGCGAGTACTGTCTAAGGCTACCCTCTGGCCCAAGGTGCACCCCTATGGCTCTGGCCTGTGAGGGGCTCACGGCCAAAGCAGACAGGCCAGGCAGTGCCCACAGCCCTCGGGTACCAGCAGCAGAGTCCCGGCCTCGTGGGGTTACTGTCTCAGCTCTCAGTGAAGGACCAGAGGCGTGTGGAGAGGGTCGGGAACCTGGGTCGCCTCCACAACGTGGCCAAGTCAGGAATCTCCCGCCTCATGGGCAGTGTGGAGAGGGGCTGCTCCGGGCCGCTGTGGGAGGACAGGATGGGGTCCCGTGCCTCACAGTGCCTTGCCTGGGTGCTGCACCCAGGCTGCGGGGCACCCGGTCCTGCCTGGGCTGGACGTGGGCACAGCCCTCAGCCAGGAGCGCCGTGCGTGGGGCGCTGCGGGTGGGGTCAGGGCCTGGTGTCAGACCCAAGGCTGGCTGTAAGGACCTTGCTGGGGGATGGGGGGCAGGGTATGTTGTGGGGGGCAGGTCAAAAGGCCAAACCACAGGCACATGCAACAGAGATTTCAGACAGTGCTAGCCCCGGATTCCTACTGTTTGCATCTGTTTTCGGCTCAGCTGGCTGAGCCTGTCCCCACAGGGCCTGGTCACACAGCTCCCCGCCCCTCCAATCCCCCTCCCACCCCTGAGCCCTGCCCGCCCTGCAGCCACCTTGAATCCCGGACACTCTGAGACCAGGGGGGTAGCAGGGCTGCAGGCCCATTTCCTTGTCCCTTGTTTGGTGGTGGCTCTTTCCAGTTCAGTTCTCTTTGGAGGGGCTCAGGGAGGCCCCCGGGCCCCCAGAGCTCTAGGCCTTGGGTCTCTTCTCCCACCACTGCCCACTCTGTGGGAGGTTCTCACGGCGGTACCGGCTGGGGCAGAATCACATTCTGCAGGCGGAGCGTGAGGCCCCGAGGAGGGGACGGCCCTCGGGGATAACCAGGGCAGTCTGTGTCCTGCCAGCCACTGCCCCCATCTGTCAGGGCAGCAGGGACCCTGGCGAGGGGCAAGCCCGCGTGCACCAAACGCCTTCTCTCTCTTTTAGGAACTCTATAGGAAGGACTGTAACCTAGCGGCCCAGCTGCTGCAGTGCAGCCAGACCTACGGCAGGGTCCATAAGGTGTCCGAGGTAACGTGACCCACCTGCAGCCAGGCCCCGCCCGGGCCCGCCCGCCACCCCCCCAGCCCCCCTGGCCACCCCGCACTGCGGCCCTCCCCACTCACAGGGAAGGAGGCGCAGTATGACCCAGGGGCCTCTGCCCTCCCTCATGTCGGCAGGTGTGGGAGGCCACGTCCTTTCCTCCCGAGACGTGATGACCTCAATCCCGCCTCCCCACCCCCGTCAAGAACCACAGCCCAGCCCAGCCGCCTCCATAGCCCTCACCGCAGCGTCCCGCTCTTCCCAGCAGCCTCACTGGCCCACTGGTCTCCTCTGGAGCCAGCTCCTTGTCCTGCCCCAAGGACCCCCCACTGAGCTCTGCCATGGGGATGTGACCCTGTGGCATGGGCCCAGGTTCACACAGTGTCCATCTCAGAGACCAGAGGGCTGGCCAAGCCGGTGGCAGCGCCAGGCCCACCCCCACTCACCTGCCCGCCGACCACCCAGCTGGCCCAGGCCCACCCCCACTCACCTGCCCGCCGACCACCTAGCTGGCCCAGGGCCCACCCCCACCTGCCCGCCGACCACCTAGCTGGCCCAGGGCCCACCCCCACCTGCCCGCCGACCACCAAGCTGGCCCAGGGCCTGCCCACACACCTCTGTTCACACTGCCTCCGTCCAAGTTCCCTGGCCCTGGGCCTGGGCCCACCTAAGACATTCACAAAATAGATCAAACAGTAGCGCATGCCCCACAAGGCTCCAGGCCCTGGCAGCGCCACGGGCACTGGGCCCTGGCTCCCACAATCTTTGTTGCATCTGTTTCTGAGTGTGTCTCGTTGCAGGGGTGGGGGGTGTACCCAGGCCGGCATCACTGGGGGCTGGAGCAGCAAGGCAGCCCTCCCTAGGCAGGAACTGGGGGTGGGTAGGAACGACGTAGGGCCAGGGGCCCACGTCAGGGGGTTCCAGACTCTCCCAGGCACCTCTCCTTGGCTCTACTGGGCACAGCAGGGGCCAGAGGGGTTGGGCAGAAATGACCAGAGTCCTCAGACATGGGAGCTTATGAAATGCAGAGCCCTGGGCCAGGTTCCAGCTCATGTGGTTTCCGAAGCCCTGGGCTGGTCCCTCCTCGTCAGTCTGTCTGTCTGCCTGCCTGCCTGTCTGTCACGGCTGGTGGCCTGGGCCCCTGGCCTGGACCCATGGCCTATGTTGACTGCAGTCCCCGCCCCACCCGCTGCAGCTGCCCTCGGACTTCCAGGAGCGCGTGAACCTGCACGTGGAGAAGCACGGCTGCAGCCTGCCCTCGTCCCTCTGCCACCCGGCCTACGCCGACAGCGTGCCCACCTGCGTCATCGCCAAGGTGCTGGAGAAGCCCGACCCCGCCAGCCTGTCCTCCCGCCTGTCAGACGCCTCGGCTCGAGATCTGGCCTTCCGTGACGGGCTGGAGAAGCCAGGCCCGCGGCCCCCGTACAAAGGGGACGTCTACTGCAGCGATACGGCCCTCTACTGCCCCGAGGAGCGGCAGCATGACCGCAGGCCCAGCGTGGATGCGCCCGTGACCGACGTGGGCTTCCTGCGGGCTCAGAACTCCACCGACAGCGCAGCCGAGGAGGAGGAGGAGGCCGAGGCCGCGGCCTTCCCCACTGGCTTCCGGCACGACGCCTTTCCCGGCTACGCGGGCTCACTGCCCACGTCCAGCTCGTACTCCAGCTTCAGTGCCACATCCGAGGAGAAGGAGCACGCCCAGGCCAGCACACTCACCGCCTCCCAGCAGGCCATCTACCTGAACAGCCGCGAGGAGCTCTTTGACCGTAAGCCGCCCGCCACCACCGCCTACGAGGGCAGTCCACGCTTCGCCAAGGCCACGGCCACGGTGGCCACCCCACTTGAGGCAGAAGTGGCCCCGGTCTTCGCGCGGACTGTGTCACCCTATCCAGCTGAGCCTTTCCGCTTCCCGGCCTCGCCAGGCCCCCGGCAGGCCCTGATGCCCCCCAACCTGTGGAGCCTGCAGGCTAAGCCGGGGTCTGCCCGGCTGCCCGGGGAGGGCGTGCGGGGCCAGTGGCGTCCCCTGAGCGTGGAGGACATCGGCACCTACTCCTACCCGGCTGGTACCACGGGCCGCGCCTCGCCCTGCAGCTTCTCCGAACGCTACTACAGCGGCGGAGGCAGCCCAGGCAAGAAGGCCGAGGGCCGCGCCAGCCCCCTCTATGCCAGCTACAAGGCGGACAGCTTCTCGGAGGGTGATGACCTCTCCCAGGGCCACCTGGCCGAGCCCTGCTTCCTGCGGGCGGGTGGCGACCTCAGCCTGAGCCCCAGCCGCTCTGCCGACCCGCTGCCTGGTTATGCGCCCAGTGAGGGAGACGGGGAGCGGCTGTGCAGGGCAGGCGGCAGCCCTGAGCCCGGGCGCGGCCCGGGTTACGACAGTGGCCACAGCCCGCACAGTTCCCGGGACTCCCTGGAACCCAGCTCCATGGAGGCCTCGCCAGAGATGCGTCCCGCAGCCCTCCTCAGTCCCCAGCAGGCCTTCCCTCGGACTGGCAGCTCGGGGCTGAGCCGCAAGGACAGCCTCACGAAAGCCCAGCTCTACGGGACCTTGCTCAACTGACTGCCCACCGCCACCGCGGCCGAGGCCCAGTCCGCCCTCAACCTGCCCACTGTGGTACCCGGAGGGGAAGGCAGCTCCACCTGTGCCCAGACACCGAGGCCACGGGCCCAGCCCACTCTAGCCCTGCCCACTGTGGTACCCGGGAGGGGGGGCAGCCTCTCCTCTCCCCAGACACCCATCTCCCCAACCCGAGAGCAAGGAGCCCCAGGAGGCAGGCTCCCGCCCCTCCCCTCTCCGCCCCCCCAGCCCAGTAACAACCCGAAGAGGAGGGTCCCCTCTCCAGCCTCCTTGCCACCCGAGTCCCCCACGACGGAACTTCCACTTAACCGTTTTGCACACACCCACGTCCTTCCCGTCTGAGATGAGCACTCTCCCCTTTTATAAAGTGAAACTATTTTTATAGGGAAAATGGGTCTTTCTTAGCGCACTCGGCCTCCAGCTCCCTGGATGGCAGCCTTGGCATTTCCAACACAAAACTCTTTTATTTTTCGGATGAGGGCAAGCGGGCCTGCCCCAAGAAGGGACGGTGTGGTCCCGTGGAGGCCAAACTCCAAAAGGGAGAAATGCCCCAGCCGGCGGGTGGTGGAGGGACCCCGAGGCTTTGTCCACACCGAGGGCAGTCAGAGTGAGTGAGAGGGCACGGTGACGTCTTTAAAGTCTCTTTCACAGTGTGGCCGAGTGCTTCCAGGGTCCCCAGTCGCGTGGGGCCAGGATGGCATCCGCGGGGCCGGTGCTCCTTCCTCCTGTCATTGCCCTGCTCCCCACGCCACCTACTCTACCTCAGACACGACGAGGCCCCGACCCTGGTTCCCGTCCCCCGTGTCCCGTCGTCCGCCATGCATGCCCTGTCTCTGCTAGCGCTGTATTTTGCATAGTCACGAATAAAGACACCAGTGGGCCATCTGGGTCTGCTACTTTCTTCTCCCCGCTGCCTAGTGGCCTCAGGAAAACGGGGTCCTTGGTGTCCTGCCAAGGAGCCCTGCTGGCACAGTCGTTAAGCACTTGGCTGCTACTGGAAAGGTCAGTGGTTCAGACCCACCAGCTGCTCCAGGGGAGAAAGGCGTGGCGTCTGCTTCTGAAAAGACTTACAACCATGTAGACTACAGGTCAGGTCTGCTCTGTCCTCTGGGGCCGTTATAATTAGAACCAACTCTGTGACAACAGTATAGATGCTATTGAGGAGGCCTGGCGGTGCGATGGTTAAGTACCAGCCGCTAACCCAAAGGTCAGCAGTTTGAACCTCCCAACTGCTCCCCAGGAGAAAGATGAGGCAGTCTGCTTCTGTGAAGATTGACAGCCTTGGAGACCCTGTGGGCAGTTCCATTCTGTCCTCTAGGGGCGCTGTGGGTCAGAA